TACCAAAAAATACATAATTAAACAAATAATTAGTTCTTTTAAGATCTCATACCTTTTGAGTAATTTATTTTAGAACCTCGTTTTGAGTTATATCGCATAAAATCGTAAACTACCTTTTACAATAAGCACTTTAAGCGATAAATAACTATATACGCATAAAATAATTCGCTACTAAAATGCATGCACGTATGAATTTGCAGTTTATAATACATGCGAATAAAACGCGTGACGGTAGAATGAGTTAACACTAATCCTAACGTATATAGGGTAATGCGTATAGCATACGATTTCTATGCAAAAAGTCCCAAGTTCGACCCCTGAAAAATGTGATTTGCCAGTTGAACTCTTTTTTATTGATAATTTTATTTTTTTTAAATTAAAATTGAAAAAGCTTCACCCTTACAAATCAATATCAGCGGGTTTCTGTTCTGAATATTATTTTTTGAAAATACCCTATTTGTAAAAAGTTTAATGCAATAGAATAACATTTTCTTATAAAATTTTGCCCTAAAAATATATTGTCAAGAAGTTTAATGTACACTTACATGTTTAGCTTACTAATACATTTTGCAGCAGATCGCGAAAAGAATACATAACTAAATGCGTACGTACATACATACTTATTATAAAACAATGTATATTTTATTAAAACATTACAATTTTCTTAAAAAAGTGATCACTTTTAGTTATAACTCACACTTCCAAATATGAATTTATATACAATATTTGTACAACCAAAAGTAAATAAAAAATTTCCCCTGCCATATGTAGTACTATTTTGTAAAAACGGTTTCAAAGCATCTTGGGAGGGGGTGAAGGGGGAGGGCGGGTGGAATTAATGCTTTCGATTAATGCATAAACATACATAATTACGAATGTATACCTATTTTTTTAAAACTGCGGTTGAACGTATAGAAATAAATTTTTCAAATAAAGAAAAGGTTTAGGCAAAAATAAAATAATAATTGTATTCAAATATATGTATGTATGTATGTACATATGAATGTAATTTTTCAAATAAAGAAAAGGTTTAGGCAAAAACAAAATAATAATTTTATTCAAATATATGTATGTACATATGAATGTATTAAAATTTAGCATTTTACAGTTTTTCGCTTGGAACAATAAAAATAAAATTCTAACTACATACGTACATATATTATATTCTGTACGTATATTTTTTTAAAGCCTAGTGACGAAACATAATATTGAAAACAACACAAATGAAGCATTATTATTCAGATGCCGCAAAACATCTGATGTCTTTGACAAAAGCTGACATTTATTTACGTTAAAATAATTTCGATTTTCCGAACCAAAAATATGTGAGATCATTATATTTTCAAATATTATTTATTTCCCGGTTTGTGTTTCTAATAAAATCGTAAAACGTATCATTTATTTCTTGGTTTGTGTTTCTAATTATAAAAAGTATAAAAGAAAAACGTGCTTTTGTTATACAAAAATTTTTTCAGAAAATTTTAAAATAGAGCTATTTCGGGGCTAAAAAGTTCCAATATCAGTTTTTTCTGGGACCTTGGAGACAAAACTCTATCTAATGCCTTTGACCCATGTCTCTAGCCCTTCTAGAAGTACCCGTACTTTTTGGCACCTGTGAAGTAGCTATATATATATAGTTTACATGTTATATATTAAAAAAAATAAAACAAAAAATTTAAATAGAATTAAAAAAAAAAATATTTAAAATAATCCAAAAAAGGAAAATACGACAATGTCCAGACAAGCATCGATTCAATAATCTTTTTTTTATCAGACTTCCACGTTACGCACCAGGCTACACCCTGAACTTCCCGTTATAATTCTATACTTTATTCATATTTCGTATAACTCTTCAAAAGCCATCATTTTTTACATTATATATATGTAGCTACTTCTCAAATGTCAAAAAGTACGGGTATTTCTAGAAAGACTAGAGAAGTGGGATAAAAGGCATTTCTATTGCAAACTTTTTACAAATAGGGTATTTTAAAAAAAATATTTAGAACGGAAACTCGCTGATAGTGATTTGAAAGGGTTTTATCATTTTAATAAAAATAAAATTACCAATAAAAAAAGTTCATCTGGCAAATCGCATTTTTCAGGGTTCGAACCTGTGACTTTTTCCATAGAAATAGTATGCTATACGTATTATTCTATATAGTATTAGTGTTAACTCATTATATATTCACTCATTTTATTCGCAGGTATTACAAAATCCAAATACATACGTTCATGCATTTTAGTAGCGAATTATTTTATGCATATACAGTAATTGATCGCTTAAAGTGCTTATTGTCAAAGCTATTTTAAAATTTTATGCGACATAACTCAAAGCGTGGTTCTAAAAGAAATTACTCAAAAGATATTAGATCTCAATTATTATTTTAGGATATTATTTGGAACTAATTATTTGTTTAATTATGTCCGACTTCGTAATTATTTTTAAGAGCTTTTCTTATTTTAAGTTTTATCTTATAAAATGTTAGGAAAACAAGTAAAAACGTTTCAGTCGGTATAAACCGATTAAATTATACCCTGCACCTTTCGTTATTGTGTAGCAATAACTTGAACCTGTGAAATCATTCTATAGAAACTTCATGATATGTCTGACCTATAATTGGACATCCAACTGCCAAGTTTCATGAATCTGACTTTATAATTTTTCCAAATATATAAAATTAACTTTTGGAGTTGTATGGCAAGTACCTGAACCTGTCAAGTAATTCCATCAAAATTTCACAAATATATCTGATCTATAATCGGACACACAACTGCCAAGTTTCATGAATCTGATTTTATTATTTTTCCAAATATTAAGAATAAGCTTTTAGACTTGTATGGGATCTACTCGAACCTGTCAAGCAATTCCACCAAAACTTCAGAAATATATCTGACCTATAACTCGACATACAACTGCCAAGTTTCATGAATCTGACTTTATTATTTTTCCAAATATTTAAAATAAGCTTTTAAAATTGTTTGGCAAGTACCCGAATCTGTCAAGCAATTCCACTAAAACTTCACAAATATATGTGATCTATAATCGGACACACAACTGCCAAGTTTCATGAATCTGACTTTTTATTTTGCCGAATATAAAAAATTTGCTGTTGGAGTTGTATGGCAGCCACCCGAACCGGTGCAGCTATCTCATTATAATTTTTAGAGCATATGTAGAATATAATTGGACACATGTACACAAAATTTTATATTTATAGCTTTATTAGTTTTTGAAATATTTAAAATAAACTCTTTGAGTTGTATGCCAGCTACCCGAACCCGTTGTCCGAATTAGTCCAATATAAATAGGCTTTGACAAAAGAAAAAACTTGTTAAAGTTTGGTGTCGATTGCATTATTCGTTTTTGAGTTATCGTGCGATCGGACGGACGGACATGTCTAAATCGACGCAGAATTTTACGCTGAGTAAGAATATATATATATGTGTTTATCGCAGATGACTCTTTCAAGTAGTTACAAACTCCATACCAAAATTAATATACCCTTCACGAAGTGCAGGGTATAAAAACATATCTATATGTATATTACGGGTGTGTTTTTGAAGAAAAAGTAAACTTAAAATATCTCAGACACGGAATGGAACACAATTTCAAAACTACATACGCAATACTTGCAAGGGTTGCAATGCATACACATTAGTGTTATATAAAGGTGTAGAATGTAAGAAAGAGAATGTCTCAATTAATCAAAAGCCTGTTGTGTATATACATCTAATTTTAAAAATTAGCCATAATTAAAATAATGATGAAAATAATGGCGTTATAAAAGTCGCAACTATACAAAATGTACAAAATAAAAATTGTAAAAATATGGTTTTAATAAGTCAAACAGTTTAATTAATTAATGATAAAGATGAGAATCTGATGTTCAATTTTTTTAATGTGAAAATATTGAGTATAGTCATCCAATAACTTAAGAGACAGTCGTTGTTTTATATTGGAAAGAGTCTATAGAAAAAAATATGATACTTTAATCAAAGACATTTCTAATTCATACAAAAATACTTAATATAAGAATATATGTATGTATTTCTTAACAAAAAGTATGATGATCAATTTTGAATATACCGTATGTATGTTTTAGAAAATTGTGTATTACGAAGTCTTGAGAATAAAGATACTTATGGTATTAGGCAGTCTTTGTACATAAAGATATCTGTGAGTACGTTCCTTGACATTACAAAAAATCAAGGCCCTGTTTTTTTGTGAATGGATTTGTAAAATTGCATGTGTATTTTATGACTGCCGACAGGTATTAATACGATTGTACTATCGTCTCTACCTTTCGAATTCATATATGCAATGATTTTTATGAATTATGAAGCGTATAAATTTAATTAATACAGTAAAAATATTCAGATATATATGTGATTATATAAGAAGTATGCATTGTGGGAGACATGTCAATCATAATTAGCAAATTTGTTAACATCAAATGTACATTTTTTCAAATTGCACTATTTTTTTTTTTTTTTGTAGTGTAGCATTTATTGAAATCTTTAATGAAAAAGAACGTGGAGGTTTTTTTTTAAATCAATTTTTTAAATAATTGAAAATTGTTGCTATAAGATTTCTTCTAAAATTATGCAATATATAGCATTTTCAGATTAAATTAGCCCTTTTGCGAATTAAATTAACGTTTTTGCGAGTGGAATTAAACTTTTTGCGAATAGAATTAATCCTTTTGCGAATAGAATTAACCCTTTTGCGAATTGAATTAAACCATTTGCGAATTGAATTAATCTTTTTGCGAAATAAATTAAACTTTTTAATTATTGTTAGTTAATTTAATCTGAAAATGCTATATTATAATAGCAAGAAAATAGATCTTCAAAAAGTTGAGCCTTGATGTTGTTTTGAAATGAAATATGCAAAAATGAAGTGAAACAATAAGGCTGTAATTAACGAGTTCGAGACTTAAATTGTCGAAGAGGTATTATGCAAAAAGCATGAATTTAATTTGCAATATTTTTAATGTTACCTTGTCGCTCATATTTTTTGATGCAGTGTCAATAAACACATCTTGAATCTTTATTGGAAATTCAGAAAATATGTCAGTTGTAACATCACTTAAAGATGAAAATGAAGAGCTTGTACTTTCCGCATCATCAGATTCGGACTCACTATCATCTGTCACAGATTGCTCTAAATTTTCTAGTACAGCCACAATATTTTTCATTAAAGAACTTTCACTGAATATGTTGAAATATATTGGATTAAGATTTTGAGAAAAATGTCTTAATTTGTCTCCTATCTGCAACGACAATTGTTTTAAAAGAAGTTATTTAGTCTTAAGTGGGAAATTACCTGTGTAGGGTCAGTAATACCAGTTTGTACACGTAAGAATGCTACGTTTTTAGGAGTCAATGACCACTCAGCATAATATTCAACAGCTTGTGTTCTGGAGAATTTATTTAAAAATTGTGATCCTTTAGGACGAGATCTAAGAAAGCTGTTTATTTGAAATGCAACAACGGGTCTTGGATACAAGCGTAATGTCCGTGTATGTTCGGAAAAGTTAGCTAACATGTTTTGTGAATTGAAAAATCTAACCTATAAAGCAAAATGACATATTTTGTTATATATTATATACATACACAGAATATCTTAGAATTTACAAAATGTACCATTGCAACTCGAACAGCTAAATCCACAGTATCTATGCGATTTTCTTCGGCATTTTGAGGTTCCTTCCCCGATATATATTTTTTTGTAGTCTTATTTTTCTGATTTGAATTTGAAAGTTTTGCGGGCTCTGTTGTTAATCCAGTAAGTGCTTGCTTTAATTCTACTTTTAAATTAGCCGCTTCTGGTTCAGGTAAAGAAGGTATATCAAAATTTTCTGCCGGTGTAGTTAGTTTGGTTGTGTCCATATCAATAATCCATATATCGTCGGGGAGCCTAAAAAAATATTCATTTCAATGCATTTACTTCGGGAAGACATTGTTTTCCAACAATATATGTTCTTAACATTTGTTAAAAAATTAACCTGAAATGCTTTGTTTTTTGAGCGATAAATGAACCTGGTACGCCTATAACAAAGGGTGTTGGAGCTAATAATAACTGTTCTGCACAATTCATTGATGTTGGTAATAATGGAATAACTGGAAACATATATTCAAGTGGATAAAGTAATGTTACAAATGCCAACACAGACATTGAAAGAGCATTGTAATCTCTAGATACAACTAAAACTTTGTTTTCTAGGAGTATCAAAGTTAAAACTTTCAAGCATGTTTCAACTCCTAGCAGCTCAATAGGAAGATGAAGTGGGTAATCTACCAAAAAAAATCTTGTATGATCAGGTAGCGCAAAGTAAAGAGTTTCTTGAACTGGATTAGGTAAGTTTTCAACCTAAAATAAAATATGGAAAAAAATTGAGCATTAAAAAAATTTTTTGTGAAATTACCTGAACAAGTGTTGACCCAGGAACAGGAGCAGCTGCTGATAGTAATTTATATATCCAAATTTCAATTTCTTGGACTTCACGTAGTATTCCAGGAGCTTCCGGGCTATCAATATACCCCATTAAGTAAGTCCAACCAATATCTCTATTATTTGAGCAAATATTTACTAATTTAAATTTACATAAGCAAACCCAATTAAATAGTACCTTCTTCTTTCTCTTGTAGATTCTGCTTTTTTAGAGTTAATAATTTCACCATAAGCATCAACAATGCTCTTAAAAGAGAATAAGCAATCTCTAAATTTTGTAAAGAATGGATGGTGTGAGATTATACACAATGATGTAAGTGCGAAACATTTGTTTTTTCCATATTTTCTTTCCTTTTTAATGCGACTGCATGGATTATCGAATCTGTAATCTTTTATATTAGCAGTTTCAAACGGATTGGTAGACTGTGATTTAAAATCTGATTTAAAACTTTTCATTGCCCTCCTTGATATGTCCTTGTAAAAATTTACACAAATTCCGTATCGCGTTTTTCCTAAAAAAAAAAAATACATTTTAAAATAAATAAAAAAATTATTTTACAAGCTTGCAAAATTAATAATGAAAATTGCAACCACATAAATAATTATTGTATGTATTCAACAAAATATATTAAAAGTTAAGAACCTGAATCTTTATCTGTTAAGGTAAAAACAAATGTTTTGTTTCCCCTAATAGCATTTTTAGTAGAGTCAATTGTTGTACAACCTTCTGGTTGGCAAAAAAATACAACGTCCAGCGGTAAAGGAAAATCATCATGATCGATCGGAGGATATCGACGTAAAAGTTGTGGAACCTAGAAAAATATACCTTTTTATTTTCATTATTGTTTTTTGTAATTTTTCATTACCAACACATGAGATGAGTTTTTGTCTAACCTTCCAGTTGGAGCAAATCTTGTTCCGACTATAGCCAAATAATCAACTAGTCTAGGACATACTTTTAGATGATCTCCCATTGATTCTGTAAAAATATTGAAAATCAAAAGTTTTGCAAGAAATATTGTAAAATATTTAAAGATAGAATAAATATAACTTATGCCATTTAAATGAGTGGATACTCATTATAATTAACTTATTATCATTCGATAAAGGAGCTACATATTTTAAATCTACGATGAATATGCTAATCAACATATTTTTCATGATTTTGTAATTAATATTCTGTTTGTTGGTTTTCATAAATGAAATATTTTGTTAATCTTGTCTTTTGGTTTTAGGCTATATGTATGTACATACTTATGTATATTGCATGAAACATTTCATTATAGAAAACCCCCTTTTTTTAATTCGAAATGTTATAAAATATATTCTTGTTTATTTTAAAATTTGAAAATTAAAAAAATGACGAATTAAATGCTGTACGATGTATTTTTTTAATCATGAGAGAAAGGCGCTTGTATGAATTTTTATTCTAAGAAATTTTGATAGTCAAATCTTGAAAAATCAATAGAGAATATACATCACATTTTTAATAACTCTCATTCTATTGAATAATTTAAAACAACGTCAGTAAGTTCTTACATATATTTATAATAATAAAATATTTTACACGATTAACATTTTTTCAAGTAAATCAATTACTTTTATTAATTTTGTTCGTCTTTATTAATTTCACTAAATTTACATTGCGATTTAGTAAATCACACTTTACAATATATATATTCGAATTTGTGTTAACGACTTAACGTGACAGGTAAGTTTGGAAGTTTAAGCTGAAATGACAAAACAAAATAAAAAATTTTCATCAGAGCTTTTTTCATATTATATAATCTTCATTTTTATTGACAAGCTTTTGTACGACATATCAGTATATAAAATGTTATATTCGAAGCATTTAAGGTTATTTTACAGTACAAGACACATCCTTTTTGACAATATTTTATGTACATATTAAAAATATTGCTGCCTTGCGTTTTCACTTACCAAAGATGCTGTCGTTTTGTGCGTTCACCCATTTCTCTAAAAAATCTACTCTAATAAATTTAATTTTTATGTGAACTTTAAATTAGAAATGACAATGTATTCACAGTAGGCATATCTTATATTATTGAATATAAATTTATATTTTCTATACTTTGTGCTAGGCAAAATATTCAGGCAATTTAGGCTCACAATAATTAAATCTTTGGAAAATAAGTTAAAGGACAAAACACACAAAAACAATAGAACCAATTATAATCAATGACACAAAACAAAAAGAAACAGACTGGATGTTAACAAAAAATAAAAAAATATAAAGAAAAAGGATACAAATATTCCGTCACTGTTAATTTCAAAAAACAAAAATATAACCACGGTTTTCAACTACAAAAATAAGGAGAACGTTAAATGCCAGGACAAATATAGCTTATAAATTACGCGAAAATAAACAGACCAGACCTCTAATGGTCAGGCACCTTCACCTATCGTGTGATCCAGGTGAAATCAAAAAGGAATTACTGGAAAGAGAATAGTGAGTGCATTTAATCACAGACCTCTTTATATAAGACTTCATAATACACAATTTACTAATACGTACATAAGGTATATTGAAAATTGATCATCGTCCTTTTTTTCTAAGAAATATTTTTTATATTAGGAATTTTCGAATAAATCGGAAATGTCACCACGATGATTTGGGATGTGTCGAAAATAAAAACGATTAAATACAAAATATATACAGAATTTATTTTATTTCATATAAATAATAACAAAATTAAATTTCTTGTTCTTACAAACTGGAATAATAAATTATAGGTAACAAAACATTTTTTAGGTAAAACAAAAATAGTAAATACATAAAACAATTGTTTTAAAAAACAGTTGTAATTTTGAATTTACTCTTTTTTATTAACTACATAACATATTTGCATAAAAAACGCTTGTATCCCTTTTTTGTAACGCTTGTATCCATTTATCCCTAGTGATCTTGTTCTTTGGCAAAGCAAATGTAGGTATAGCATTTACGTTCTCCTTTTTTCTATTGCTTCTGCATTCTTTGACGCAACAGTTTCGAAGCATTTCTATTTATATTAAATAAAATATAATAAAACATTTGATTACCTTCATATAGGTAATCAAATGTTTATTATATTTTATTTAAATATGAATATAATAAAAACTTCAAAAACACGACAAATTTAACTAATTTATTGAGTCATTTTTTCTTCTTAAATAAACTTTTGTACTACTTCTTCAAAATACGCCTTTGTTTCATACCGAACATATAAATATTACGAACAAAAGAAAAAATTTATAAATTATAAATCGTCTTTGTATTTAATAAGAATTAAATTTAGTGAATAATTATATTAATAAAAATTGCTATAATTATTCACTAAAATAAAAATTAATATAATTATTCACTAAATTTAAATTAAAATTAAATTTTAAACAACAAAAAAATTATATTGTCGCTGAGCGACACAGCCTTCCCGTACGAAATTTATATATGGACTAAAGATGTGCTATAGTTTAATTTTTTGTAAAACCAGTAAACCCTTATTCTATAGACACAAATAAAAAAATTTTAACATGCCTTGTATATTATAGGTCACGAGCTTATGATTACACACATATAGTAAAAAAAATGAATTATAAAGAATATATTAATATATTACCATTGTTTATGTTAACATTTGAGAACACTGAAAACAGAAAAAATGTATATCATAAACTACATAAGCAACATGAAGATGAAAATAGAAGCGTTGAAGAGCATAAATCTAATATCACAATTCAAAAGATGCAAGTCAGGAAGTCGTAAAAGAGATAATATAATGCACAGGCAGTAAAAAAATCCAAACACAAAAGAAAATGATTTCAATGAAGCTCTAAACAGTATTTATAATGTAATCAGTAATTTAACACATACACTAGATAACATCGAAAATTACCTACATAATACAATATGACTACAAAATAAAAATGATTAATTAACAATTATAAATCACCACCTGGAACGTGAACTGTATAAAAAACTAAAAGAAATTGAAGTATTTCTCATAACGCATGTCATAGATATTTGTTTATTTTCGGAAACTTAACTGACGGATCAAATGTACCTAAAAATAAAAAAATATTGTACTCACTTGAGTCGATATCTAAATAGTCAATTAAAGGTTAGGAACGATATATTATATATTATAGCATATATTTTAATAGCATATAAAAGATGAAATAGCATATAATAGATGCTAACTAACGGCAATTGAAATAAAAACCGAAAAACGGAAACTCATGAGTGGTTCAATATTCTTACCTAACAAATTCAACCTGAAAAAGACTGATTATATTAAAATACCGCAGAAACTGGGACAAACATTCGTATTAGGATGTAACATTCGCGCGAATGTCAAACATATCACACGAATATTGATTATATCAGAAGGAAAAGAATTGAAAGCAGTAGTAAATTGTCAAAGTTGTCATATCCGCTCAACTAGTAAACTAACATACTGGCCCACTGACGCAAATAGAATGCCAGATGCACTGGACATATTTTTTTTTATATCAGACGACCTCTTATTACAAGCATCTAGTATAGCGAAATAAACGTCACTTAGCCAACAAACGTGGCTATCAGTAACCATAACTAAAATTGTCATAATTTACAGCTGGAAAGGGAGGGGAAACGGAAAAGTGGAGAAAAACATAATATTAGTAGTAAAAATTTAAGATTAATAGGTAAATTAAAAAATAAACAGCACAATAGAAAACGTCACACAAATTGAGAATAAATTAAATAAAGTCAATGTTACTGTAAAGTCTGGCTTTAAGCAACTTCTTATTTACGTTCGTACAAAAAACAAACGAAAGCAAGTTAACTTCTCGTAATATACACATCACCTGTTTATGCATTTCTATGAAGCGGCACATTGAAGAGCTTGACCGACCTCAAGTTACTGGAATTCTCTTTGAAAGATATTCGACCTAATAAAAGCGGAAGATATCAGAACCAATGAAAACTATATCGGATCTGACCAATCCATACCACGAAGAGCAAATGAAAGAAACGTCACTGCACAGTCTTTATACGATCTATATTAATATTACGAAGGGGAGACCAAACCTGACATACGAACTCTAAAACTGGCTTCTCGAAAGCAATATAAAGATGTTTTGACCCAAAAGGATCATTAAATTCCCCGCACCATTTCATGATAATATTGGATATTGGTTAATAAGGCGAATTCTACCAAGAGTAAAATTAACCATCAAATATTATTAACCATCAAATTGAAATTAGTTTTAAAATCGAGCCTGCAATCCAACGTAACACCTAGATCACGAATTTGAGCAACCCTCTCCAGAATTTGCTCATTAACCATTTACTCATCCGAGAGACAGGAACGAAACTGTATCGAACAACTTTTACCAGACAATTGATTGGAAACCCAGGACAAACTACGAGAAGAAAAGCTCATGCCCCTCAGTTTCAAAAGGATAGCTAGAAAAGTTAGAATAGAATAGAAAATTTTCAAGTGCCTCACTTATATCAGTAAATTTTATATAGTCCTGACCATCCAACTTAAGAAGTCATAGTTTCAGAAACAAATTCCACCAAGTTAATTACGACAGACCTCTCTCTGACAACCGTGCTGATATGGCCCATAATAAGAATACAAATATTCATACAGTATTTTCTCGAAGACCTTAGGAAAAGCAGAGGAATGGGCCTATGATTACTAATTAAATTACGCGAACCCCCTTATGGACTGGAATTACAAATAATTCTTTCAATCGTCTTTAAATATCTACTACGAGGCGACAAATTGTAAAGGAAACTGGGTGTACCAGCAAGAGTCGAAGCACACTTCTGCAAAAAAATAGCAGGAACCCCATCAGGACCTGAAGAGCAATCATAACTAAAAGATAACAAATGTTGTGAGACGACAGCCTCATAATAACTGTTCCACTTTTATTAAAACTATTAGAGCCCGAAAATTTCCTATATCGACTCGAAATAAAATTCATCAACTGAAAAGTTCCCACTAACCACAAAAAGGCCAGAAAAATGTGAAGCAAAAAAGTTTGATATTATATCAGGCTCAGCTGAGGTCGAACCAAGAAACTGGAAAGATGAAAGATAAAATTTGAAGAGTGAACGCCATCAAGGAAAAGAGTCTCATAGTCATGAGCACAGCCTGAGACCACAAAAAAATTTCTAAGAATCCGGAAGTGACCAAACGGCAGTAGGAAAATTAGAATTGTCCGAAACAAGAAAACTATCCAATGGTCCTATACTATAAAAAATTGAACAAATCTGATTCGACAATGACCCAAAGCCTAACCTCTTTGCGCACAGACAATTTAAAATACACATGTTGGAGCGTCCTAGAGCAATCACAACCCACAAGGTCTCGAAGACACCAAGGGGTACAACCGGGACATCTTCAGACATCGGGGAAGACCTAACACCGATAAGAATGCACCATCAAAATCAAGTGAGTGAAGTTCACTACTAAAGAATCCGTCACTTAGCCACGACCCAGTCAGGACGACAGCATCGTGTCGTGCGAACATGACTGAGACCCAACGTAAACATCACGTGAGTAGTATAATAGTACTTCTCCTATTGATTTCATATATAAAAATAACGTGAGTGAATGAAAGGCTATTTCCCGGTAGCACTTCTACGAACAATCCAATATACAAAAAAAAAAGCTCGAGCTATTAAAAACAAAAACGATAAAATAAAAAATAAAAATTAACAGCAAT